ATTTGATTATAAAGTTGATCTACTTGCTTCTTTTAATTGTATAAATTCTTATTATAGATTTTAAACTTTTTTTATATGCACAAGATTAATGTTTTTGTGGTTGGCACTGGTGATGTGTGAAATTTCCATTCTAAAAATGTTGACAAGTTCTTAAAGACTTGGAATAGTTGCCAATCTATTCTCACTTCCACTAAGTATAGCATCCATGATTTTTTCTTTGATTTCAAATAATTTAATAAATTCACAAGTCAAATTAAAAGAAAGTAATCTATAACCTCTAATATTGAATGAAATTTTTCATAAAGAAGTATAATCCACTTTTTTTAAAGAAAAATAATTGGTGTTAGAAAATTAAACAATTTGTTTAAAAGAACATAATCTGTAACCTTTAAAATATAATAATAGAAGTAAAATAATCCACTCACTTCAAAAACAAGATAAAAATAATAAGTTATGACTCTTGTCTATCTATTAATGATATGAACCTCAAAGAACGAAAATATCAATATACTCTTGTGTTACTTAAAAAGACTAAAAAATCACTCAAAGATGATATAGTATTAAATTAGAATGGCTATTATCAAAGATAAGAAGACTAGAAAGTCTTGAAATAAGACTAAGGACTAGAAAAGGTGTTGACAAGAATAAAAAAGACTTCACTCTTGCTTCCATATGTATTCTTAACTAAGAACTATATCGCTTATAAGATCTCAAAAATGTATTGACTTTGCAAGACACGTATCTTAATTTATAAGATAAGTTTTTTTATATGTACACCACATAATTAGTTTTTTCTATAAGCTATCAATATATGATTAATTTTTTGACTGAGTTTCTAACCTACTAATCAACTATAAATACACATAAAATCAAAGTAGTGTCTATAAAGCTTCTCTAAAAAATATTATGAAATAAATCTATTTTTATGTATTTCTTCTTAATCATATAAATAAATATTAAAATAAGTATATATATCTATGACACATAGCTCTTTATTGGATAATATATATGGAAGCAAGAGTAAAGTCTTCTTCACTCTTGTTAATACCTTTTTAATGTTTAATCTTATTTCAAGACTTTTTAGTCTTTTTGTCTTTGGCATTGGCTATTCTAATTTAATATTATATCATCTTTGAGTGATTTTTTAATATTTTTGAGTGATACAAGAATGTATTGATCTTTTAAGCTTTTAAGATTTATATCTTTAACATTATCTATTAATAAAAAAAAGTATTAAATATCATATTAAAAGATTCCAATAAAAAAAATTTATATGCTTTAGACTACCAAGAGGATCCATCACAACCATCATGATGTTTGCAAATGACTTAAGACTTTACTTGATCAAAACAGAGATTAACTAAGATATAGCAATGCATATCTTCAAAATAAATTAGTATAAAATTAGTAATTAAATTGAATCAAACAAAATTATTAAAAATTTGAAATACAAGAACAATCAAAGTAGCAATGGCAAGCGGATCCATAACTTAAGTGGCTAGAAGAACAACAAACTACAATGCACCTAGGATTTTTCTTAAGATTTAAAATAATGCAAGAGGAGGTGGATAACAAAATTATGCTTATAGTAAACAAATGCTTGGTTAGTTAAAGCCCAAAGAACCTATCTTTTGCAAGTTGTATCCTAATAATAAATCTAGTTATTTTGGCAATTATATAGTATTATTATTTATGCACTTATTTTCCTATAATAATCTTCAAATGAATCAAAGCAATGATACAAAATTATACTTTGGAAGCATTAGTGGATAGTACTATTAAAGCAAAAATATCATGGAATATAGTAATTTAACCTATAATAGTTATAGGCTTAAAAATTCTAGATCTACAAATTTAGTAGATGTATTGATGATAAAATTACTAGTCAATGGCTTGAAATTAGGCTTCAAACCATAGAAGTTGTTCATGAAATACAAACTAGAATGGACACAAGTTACAAGCATAATAAGATGGCCAACCAACCATCACTTGATCATATACACAAGAAGAGATCTTCATGAAGGAACACTATTATAGAAATCCATACTATGACCTTGGTCAAAGATAAGGACATGTCTCACTTAAATATAACTAACAAATCTAATGGAAAATTTAAATAATATCTCTTTAGAAACCCCTTAATAATTCAACCATACAATGAGCAAATAAATTTAGAACACAACTCTAACTTTTTAATATGTGATATTAATAAAATATTTGCCATCAAGGACATCTATAAAAGAGACAAAAGAGAATGAAAGTCTTTGAAGGATATAGCAATGTTCACCAAGTCCAAATCAATGAACATACAACATCTCTTAGTTCTCAGTTGCCTCTCCAACTATAACCTCAAAAGTGATCTTTAAAAACAGTCAAGGAAATGAGTGATTTTATTGTTACAAGGTCTGATAATCATTGTCTACTACCTGCAGATGAGAAAAGAAGGATTGTTTCAATCGATTGACTACAAGAAGGCACATATGGAGAAACTCATACAACAATAAGAAGAATTGACATAAATATCAATTCGTTTATTGTAATAAGTTTAAGTATTCTTAACAAATAGACTTAAAAAAAAAAGTAGACAAATACAATTCCACAAATATACTTCTTGAAGGCTTTAAAGTATAGATGTTTGAAAAAAAATATATATATATATATACAGGCCTATCTGAGGATCCTAAGGATTGGAAATAGAATAAAATCAATACACTTATGAAGATAAATTTCTTTGGCTAGGCCATAAAATATGGATATAAGATTGATCTATTGAAATTTCTCAATATAATATTAAGGATCATTCAACTCAAACTATGAAGATACAAAAATCAAGAAATCAAATAATTAATCAATAAATATGGCATGTACGGCCTACAAGAAAAATCTCTACAATGATATGGCTAATACTTATAGGACATCGACCTATTGGAGAGTGAAAAAAAAAAAAAAAGAGGAAAGGCACTTATAAGCTTTATATATTTAGAAGAGTCGAGACAACATCATACACATTATACACATGCCTACAAATCAAAGAAGCTTGGACAAGAGTCAAATCATCAAAGCAATTGGCATACTTACTAAAAGCATACAACTCTAAGCAAATAGTATTACTTGGCATTATCAATGCACTAAGATAGTAAGACATCAAGATCTAATATCTTAAAGACATAGTGGATAAAATCCATGTATTATATAATATTATAGGAGAAGTACGAAGATGCAATTTGTTATAGAATATTTGGGTAGCCAAATACATGCAATAACTCAATCAAGACAAATTTAACTTAAGTAAAGTATTTTATTAATACATGTAGTTTTAGAGATTTGGAAAGAGATCTTCCACTATAAATAAAGCACATAGACAAAAGTAACAATAATAAAAAGATTCATAATAATTTTGACCAAAAATGACATTTTTACAATAAGGATTTAGACCTAAATAGAAGCCAACACCATTAAAGGCATTTCTTCTCCAACACCTTGCAACCTATACTCCAACAATATCAAAAAAATCAATTGATCAAAAGCATTATAACATGGAGAGACTTGCAATACTCTTAAGGAAGAGAACTGCAACTTGCAATTGATACAAAAGATTCTCAACTAGTCCATCCAAACAAGGCTATTGATATACTATTTGAAGAGGTTTGGTTCAAGTTCGAAAGACGCCAACCAATGAGATAGCAAAATCAAAGGCAACATGATGCAACAAAAAAGAACTAGACTCTAATATACAACTATAGTTTCCCCCAGAATATGCAATAGGACAAGTAGAACATAGAGTGGCAATGGGACCAAAGACCCAATAGCAAGATAAACACACATAATCTAACAAAAAAAGAATATAGACAAAAGCCTAATAAGATTTTGAAGACAACCAAAGCCATTGACCATTTTTAATAATCAATATTGTGTATCCATCACAACAAATCAAAGGCAACAAGAACCACAACAATACCAATGGCTACTAGAGCATGTAAACAAAAGAGTCACAACAACCAATTTGATCAAATGCTTCAATACAAACAAAGCTAAGTTTCTCAATATGGCACTTTAAAACGAAATAGATGAATTGCTATTAGATGCAAAAGTAGACCAATACAAAGAGGCCTTAATTGCAAACATGACAATAATAAAAGAAGAATATTACATATACAAATTAACCAACCTTATATCTAAGAACAGCTAAAAACACAAGTACTTACAAGTAGAGAAAGAATGCAAGACAATAAGGTTGCTCTCAAGGTTTATAACAACTTCAAACTTGCATGGTAAGGACTTTTCTAGACAGATTGAAGATGGGCTATGATACTTTAGTTTAGAATAGAGACATCTTAGATTGGTATGCTAGATTTCATAGAATATATGATTTGTAAAGATTTGGCTAATGGCCATGTAAACCAATGGTGTGGCACATAGATCCATGTTATTTGCAGAATATAACCCCAATGGGGATTTCTTGGTCTTGGATTTGAATCCATCTACGAACTTGATGTGAAATGTATGCTAACTTTATGTTTTGACTCCTCTCTATGCTCAATCGTTTCTCCCCAGCACTTTGTCTTAGCTCTCCACTTTCTCTTAGCCCTCAGGCTCTTAGCAAGGCTCCTTGACCTCTGCTCGGTCCCAAATTTTGCGGACTGGGAAGTAGGCATAAGCAAAGATAGGTATATAAAATTTGTAAAAATTGCCCAATGTCCTTTCATCCATGAATGGAAAATCACCATGATATGCATTGGGTACCTATTCCTCTGCAACCCTGACTTCAGCATATGACAGCAATCGGATTCAAATAAAAATAACATTGGTAACCAAAAAACAAAAGTGCATCAGGAAAGATAAATCCCAAACCTCTACAGGTTTATCAGCGATGTCCATGAGAGCATTGAAGGCTACTCAACAGAGATTGAACCACGACGAACATGATGGGAAAACCCAAGCACACAACTTCACGCTCATCAACTCAAATAAAAGTCGAGTTCGTGTATTCCAGAAAAAAATGAAAGGTATGGCTTGTAAGTGTCGAAGTCTACTTGTAAATGTAATTACAAATTTTAAGCAAAAACATACATCAGGTGTACCTCACACCGTTATTCGGTAACCTTAGCTAGTGCTTTCATCCAAGCACGGAATAGGATGAGAGCAGTACCACTGACGAATTCAACCCAGCAAAGACAGATCGCAGCCTTCATGTACGACATGCGTCACTGTAGAAGGAACTACGGTAAGTTGGAGTACTTCTAACACTGATGGAGACCCAATGACGCATCTAAGAGCTTGTAGAGAAGGCGTCAAAACAGCAGCGTATGATTGTGCATAAAAGTCAAAATACTACATCCAATATCTATTATCAACTGAGTTTTTTTTTCCCCCAAAGATTTCTAATACGAGCTAAGTGGCTGAGTCAGAGCTTGAACAGCTGTGCACACGGTATTAGGTATAACAGGACAATATGGAACAATGCCTCTACACTGGAATGAATGGATTTCGGTAGTCTCAAACTCGCTAAGGCCTGAAATGAAACTTAAATATTAAACAACAAGGTTATTAAGTGTACAATCAACCGCAGCAAGCACTTCTTTGAACGGCAGTACCACCACCTGCAGCTCCAGTGCCCGCACCAGCAGTTCCTCCGTACCCAACCTTGATACCATAAGTCTGCCAGAAAATCACCTTTAGACTTCGCATATAGGCGCACTTTCAAAATACATGCAGATACAGTCACATGGAATGGACTCGTAAACTCTTTCCACGTATGGGGTGTAGTATCAAATTTTGGATTCAGTCATACGAGTTCGCAACGTTATTATTGCAGTATTTTTTTGTCTCATGTTTCCAGAGGTCATAATAATGTACTCAACAACTACACACTCTGCAACAAGTGAGCATCTCAACATCAATTAAATATGGATTTTGAGAAGAAGTAGGAAGAAGAAAATACACAAATTCCCTAGATTCTGTAAGTTTAGCAATGGTGATAGATCAGATAAGTTTACCTCATTAGAAACATCAAAGATTCCCTCTTCAATTTTTTGATAGATCTTAGCGGCGGTGTTGATGAATGCCTGTTCAGAAAATTTTAGCGTCTGTTAAATACCTAAAACTTGACAGACGTAAAGAGCAAGCATGAAAGGTTTCAGCCTCTGCAATCAACTTACATCCTCAACATTATGGGCCGTTTTTGCGGAAGTCTCCATGAATACCAGGCCGTTCTCCTTGGCGAATTGTTCACCTTCTTCAGTGCTGACCGCTCTTCTATGAGCCAGGTCACACTTGTTGCCGATAAGCATGATGGTCATATTAGAGTTAGCATGTTGCCTAGCATCTTCCAACCAGCTTGCAAGATGATTGAATGTTTCTCTCCTGCAATGTTCAACGAGGGTCACAGGAACAAAGATTAGTACGGCATTATACAGATAAGAGGAACTATAAATTTAGGTAAAAACAAATCCCCTTATCCCCATCTAGATGGCCACCGGTTGAGAACCTGGTGATGTCATAGACAAGTAAAGCTCCTGCAGCTCCCCTGTAGTACGACCTCGTGATGGACCGGAACGATTCTTGGCCAGCCTGGGCAGCAAAATGTTAGTCTAAGTTTCGAAACTCTACATGTACCTGTAAGTAGTCAATACAGGCTCCTAAGCTCGAGCTATTAAATGCTTCCGGACATGATGATTATGATATGTTTGTTTCGAAATCTCCGGAGGTAAATCAGCTAAAACTGAGGAACCACAACATGCGCAAAGTGTTGAAACCACAATACGAATCACAAGCAAGAAACTTATGACAGGCTTATACTACGTGGTAGACTCCGCATTATCAACAATCCCTAATTTTAGACCACTAATTGCACAGATTCACATTTAAACTTACTGTGAGAATACATAGCTTCAAAGCTCCTCAAAAGAAGTAAGTTGTACTCCATAATCGTCAAGACAAAAATATGCGAGTGAACACCCCCAACATAACTAAAGATTATCTAACGGTTCCTTCAATAGAATCAAATATTTACTGAGATGCACAGACCATAAAACCAACTTATATACCAAAATCAAGATGGAGATATACAAGGGCACCCTCATAATCAGGCTGGATGAACTATTTGCAGACCTAATAATCAGATGAATGGATATAATCCACAATGATTCTTGTGAACGTTTATGGCAAAACAGATCTACTCAAATGATTATCACAGAATTCACCACTGACAGGAAGTGCGCCAAATACTCAATTAAGGGCCAAATTCTTCAATATAACCACATCTTGTCCTACTCGATGGGCATACGAGGGCGACCAATGAAAAAAACATACCGTGTCCCATATTTGCAGCTTGATGGGCTTGTTTTCGATCGTCACCATACGCGCCCCGAATTCCACGCCAATGGTCAGATCATGCACGGGCTGAAACCTTTTGTCTGTGAATTGCAGCAGCAGACAAGACTTCCCAACACCTACGTCCACTCACAACAAAAAAAATCAACCCAAAACCGCCGCATCCAGCTCGCAAAATCCTTTGAACAACCCCAACCCGCGGCCGAAAAACCACAAAGACTAGCAGTGAAATCAAAATCAAAGCTTTTGGTAACCACCTGTATCACCGATGATGATATACTTAAACAAGTACGCGTACGACATGGTGTTCAACACTTCCTCCCTCGCAAACCCACTAAACCAACTCCAAAAACCTGTTGCACGCGCAAATCGCACCACAAGGAATATCGCCCAACTCAAGATCAGAATGCACGCTGCGACGAGAAACGAAATACGCAGGCAGCGAGTGGTGTAATGACAGGAAAGACGGCGAGGTGAGGCTAGAAACCTAGATGCGAATGGGTGATTGGCACTTGTAAATGCGGAAGACAACTGAAGGCATGGATACAAAGGCCTCCGCAAAGAGGACCCAGGCGAAGAGGCTCGGACGTGAAATGGACCCCACAAAACCTCCTCCGATCACGTTCCCTGGGTTCCCAAAGTTTCTGTAACCTCACCACCGATCCACACGTGTTTCAACTTTGAAGTCCAACACAGATAGCCTTGGTCTTTTCCCCGACAAATTCTTATTAGATTCTCTGGACTTCTGGGCCATGCTCAGTTGCAGGCACAGTGCAGTAAAATTACGGTGTGAGACTTGGGAGAATGTCTACGTTGTGTGTTGAATAGTTGCGGAGGTGGAAAATTGCTGAACAAATGTGATATGTGTGTGTGAACTGCGTGGAGGTATGTTCAATCATGGGTTCCAATCGTTATTCTTTTGAGTGGCGTGGAATCCAGCTGAGCTGCATGAATCAGCAACAGCTGTTATGATAGTTGATTCTTGAACTCCTCAATATGTGTGTCTTCGTGCAACGTGGCGATACCTTGCCCTGCTGTCCTTGAATTTTATTGAAAGTGCTTGAGAGAAAGAGATGAGTTGTAGATTTGTGATAGTTCTCTGGGAACAGTTACAAGGAGCAGAGAAACGAGTCGGTTTACCATCCAAGCCAGTATTTGGTTCACGAAGATCGATTCATCATCTCCGGAACACCAAAAGCGTGTGTTACATTAACCAGAATGTTGTTTTGGTTGTTTTCCAAGATAACTTGAAGCATCTTAGTATGTTAATATCAACGCTAGCCTCTATGGCTGTTGTTTTTTATGCTACAATAATCATTTGAGAGCTATCATATATGGTGACAGGGAAGGGTCACTCTTGAAGGTACACTTGTTTGAGAACATCCTGTAGCGAACTACAAATATCTCATAATACAAAATTATGCCATTAAGATCCTTCTCGTAGTGCCCTAGTTGAAGAAGAATAATTCTAGCCCCCAGAACTCCACAGGGTAAGTGGCGCAAGAAGGAGGTTCGCCTCGAGGTCCGAAGTAGGAGATAGTGTGGGTTACACGCTCAAAGCTTCGACTTGGAGTCCGAGTATTGAGCCATGAAATCCGCATTGAACATCTTAAAGCTTTCCATAATTGCAGGCATGTCCTTCTCTGACGGTAAGATCGTCGTTCGAACATGAAAAGTACTGTGCACAAATTAAGGCCGACGTCAGTAGTGATCAACAGTGTAGAAAATCATTCCTGCTTGAAAGCAGCACCTGATCCAACTCCGGTGATCAACTGCTATTTAGTTAACTGAAGCATAATGTACGATGATGGTAGAAACGCAATGCACGTGTAGAAAATCATACCCTTCTTTCTGACCAAACCCTGACCCTGGCACAGTGGAAATTCCAGTGGCTTCAAGAAGCCTCAAGCAGTAAAAGACATCAGGAGCTTTGCCTGCTTGCCTGGCGGCGGCAATAGCTGCTTTAGGCAACTTCACTTGAGGGAAAGAATACATAGCTCCTGCAACCACATCACAACTAGTGCATTAAGTTTAGAAAGACAATCATCATCCAGAGGACTTATCCGTTCATATAGAAATCAAAAACGGCCTTGAGTAGATATGAGATGTGCACTTATAAGAGACAGCTTTAGTGCCCAATAAAATGGATAACCAACCCATAACTTGGATTCAAAACACCAGAGAATCGCACTTAAAACTGAGAATTCATCAGTACACATCAATACACATGGTATAATTCATTACCCTCAGTAAAGTTGCAGACAACGTTCTCGCATGCATTGAAGCCATCCGTCATAATATGCGCTCTTTTTCTCAATGATTGCATGATAGCTGCGCTGTAATGACAAACAGCACTGACTGTTAGATACACACAGTAAACAAACTATAAAACGTGAATCAATAGCTAGCGCACACATACTGTTACATGTCAATCAACCAAAAAAAAAGATGTCTACACTTGTTCATCCATTGAGTAGGGTTTTCGTTGTCCCCGTACGAACAATAATAGGTGCAATCAAAGACCTCAAACTACATCAATATTAAGCACATTCGTAAAAAGGTACCTCTCTGCAGCGTATAGAGGAAACGAGACGTCGCCTGGTCTTGGAGGTTTGACCATCAGACCCATCTACAACACACACAAGTCGAATACTCACTTCAGTACCGTATCCTAAATTATGCTCCTGCGGATGTTAGTTCAGGGCGAGGGCTAGACTTCATTTTGCATAAAGTTCATAGCCAGCATAGAACACATACCATTATTTGCCCAGTGACGTTGGGGCTCAGAGCAATCGAGGCAACCTTGTACAGCTCCTCCACAGTCTGGACATAAGAAGAGCAGTTAGACATAATACTTGATACCGAGAACTACCATGAAGGGATCCTACAATTGACACTTGACATGTATTGAGCACGAACAATGCGACTACACAGGAAGATATTCGTCTTGATTCCACAGCGAAATGGTGAAGTAGTAGTCAAAAACCTTGGGGTGAAAGTTGGTCATTTCAAAGTATCCACCACGCTGTCCACATTCTCCAAGGAAGCCCTTTGACACTGTGTGAAAAGAAACCAACTCCAAGGCTGAACTATATCTAGGTCCCATACCCATAAGCACCTGCATACCACAAGACAAAAACAACAGATATATCCTACGATTTCAACACACAGAGATAAATACTGCATAATAACTTCTGAAACAAGGGAGCTCAGGTACCCATAAGGAGAATAGCAATGGCATTGCAACACGATACCTTTCTCGCGCTGATGAAGGGCCGCTCATCTTGATATACGTTTTGCTGGTAAACCTCGTCAGCCATCAACACAACTCTTTCCCTGATACAGAACTCGATCAAACCCCGCAAGTTCTTCTCTGATAGACATTGACCAGTGGGATTCCCTGGATTGATAAAAACCAATCCTCGGGGCTGAACATGATATAAACCACAAACAGGTTAAAGAAAGCCAACTTGTAAAATGTCGCTGACACTTCTGGTCACTTTTTCTAAACGTCATTGCAAAACATTACGAGAATTGAACATAATTCTGAAATAAAGAAACGCTAATCTGCTCATGGAACATCAACTATTGGGATCATATGCCCAGTTGTATGCACAACATGACATAATCCGGCAGAATCAGCCTGGTAACTGTTATCATGTTCGTGAGATCAAATTAATTGATCCTTGAGACCAAGGCGTTGGCCCTTGAATGATTCTAATATCAGATACAGATCCAGTGACACGCAAGATACACCACCCGGAATGCACGTTACCGCTGGAGTAGGTTATGTTACAGGCTAGACAACTTACAGTTATTCCCTTCCTGCGAGCTTCATTTACAGATTTCTCCAACCCCTTGATATCCATACCCCAGTTGTCTTCTTCAGTCAAATAGTAAGGCACCAATGTGCCCCCCAAAAGTTGAATTGTTGCGGAGTACAGAGGATATTGCGGGATGGGAACCAGCACCTGCATCGTTGTTAGGGACTCGTTAACGTAGCAGAAAGTAAACTCTGTGACCCAACAACATTAAATCAAAATGCTGGTAACGACCACAAAGAGAAAGACACACCGTCCATGGAGACTTCTGGATCTATTCAAATCAAGATTAGAAGATAAATATACTTTCCATGATGCAACAAGGAAAAGGTTAGACTTGAACACATACGAGCTAAGTCAGAAAACCAAGGGGGTACACATATTCTACGAGTGCATGGACTAAGAAATTACCCCATCCTTTTCATTACGAATAAGAGCGTTGAGGACCTGCGCCACACCTTTGCTGGCTCCATCAGTGAGGAAAATATTCTCCACATCACTGCAATTCAATCAAACTGTAAAAATTTCGCCTTGAAAAACACTAGGAGTCCATATGAAATTACTCCTTAAGATATCTGATGCTACTAAAAGATTACACACAGTGGATGTTCACCTGGGATATCCATCACGCTCCAGGATGAATTCTGCGACCTCTTGCCGTACCCCAGGAAGCCCCCTCGAGTCACTGTAAGCCCCTGCTCATAACATAAAGCAAAATAAGTTTCTGTAGGCACGTTTGATTAGGACGGGGTAACAAGAATGCGCATCCTTTACAATCTACGTTGATTAACACGCTGTTCATTATTGCAAAATATCACCCAATGTCTGGGGCTTGAACCCTGTGCACGCGAAAATCTATCATTGATTCCGAAGATCTGCCCATCTTTAGACCATCTGTATAAAACATGACCCAAGTTCACAGATATCCTGTGGTTGTGAAGACTGATAACACAACGACCAGGCCTTAACTGATGATTGGCCAAGAAAGTGGGCCTGACATCATCTTTCATTTCCCTTTTCACCTTCTCAACGGTGTGTGAGGTAACCAATATCCTGGTTGATTATTACTAATCAACCAGAACTAAGGTGAACCAACTTGTTCACCGTCCACAAAGCTTTCTGTCTAATACTAATAAAGATACATTCAAATTTCCACATAGTTCAACTGCAGAGTAGAGAACAAATGATTTACTTACCAACGCCTCCTGAGGTCATAGCCAAGTAATGCTTCGCTCTAGCAATGGCATCTTCAGGAAACAGTAATCCCACGTGTGGATCGTCCATAAGAAAGGGTGCCTGACACAGAGCCATGACCTGTAGCAGCAAAATAGCAGCTCAGAATTAATTGCCTCCGCCGTTTAACTCAATTAACACATAGCACCCCTAGCGACGTAATACAGCAAAGTCAATGATGAGAAGATGAAGACAAATCCCTCTTACGATTTCACCGATTGATGTAGACTTCACTAAATTGTAAGGCAATCAATGAGCTGAAGAAAGACAAGGAACGAGTGAAGGACTTCACCTGACGAGGAAAAGTGAGGGGCTTCTGACCAAGAGCATGTGGGTTACCAACATTGGTGAAGATAATCTGCGAAGACCAAGACAATCCAAGAATGAAATCGTCTCTACAAATTTCAGCCATAAATCTCATGAGAACCGTTCTATTCTTTTCTTCCCCCACCACGCAGTACACCCACACAACACAGCTGACAAGTACACCGAACAAACCACTACACTCCCCAAGGCAAAACACACCAACACCACCACCATTAAGCAAACTCATGCCGCTTCAGCTTCCCCTCCTTCCAACGAACTCGATCAACGTCTCTCCCCCATAAATTCTACCCAACAACTCAACCCGAAATGCAATCCACCTTCTTGCCCTCTTTCTGCAGCTCCGAAGCTCGTAAGTACAGCTCCCCTCGCACCGCATACACGGTCTTCTTCACATTCAGGTTCAAATTCTCTGGGTCCATCACCTTCCCCGACGCCATGACGAGAAATTCTACCGCCCCAACACTCAAAAAATCGAACAACCCAGCACTCCACCACGCAATCTTCACCACCCACACACACCCACACACACAGACACACCCTTCACTTCACTTCACCACAAAGTAATCACTACTACCAGCGCCTCCAAATAACCTCTCATTTCACAGCCAATGCCGCCGCAGAAACATCCAGCGGACGCAGGGCGAGACCAGATGCGATGAGGAAGCCCACGCCACCCCGAAGCGAGTGATCGCGGTGTGATGGTTGGCCATCAGCGGCGCCACACAAAAAGGACACTCCGATCAGACGGACCCTCCTCGGACGGAGGGGGGGGGGTCCATTGCACCGAGCCATTCGCTTCTGTCCACCACCACGACCCCTTCGGCTTCGTTCGTCACAACCTTCACGATCTGTTCATCTCTCTCCGACGAACGTTCGTCCGGTCGACCACATTACTGTGGACGTGATTGATGGCACCCGTCGTCATTTTCGTCGGTAATCGTTCCCCTCGATGGACGTTGATTGAGATTCCGTCGACCATGCGTGCATATGTGGGTCCGCCTGTCAGTCTGAACTGCCGGTCACGTCGCTAATTCTGACGTGATTTGGAACTTTGGACTTTTTCGGTCGTCAACGAAGCCGGAATTTAAAAAAAATTTGTAGTGTATTTGTTGCTGTGTGACCTTATTTGTTTCTATTGTTATCTTTTATTTTTTGGGGGAGTTGTGGAATTGAACGGTTGAGTACAGTGTGGAACTGTTGTTTGCAAAAGAAGCACGTTTTTTTTTCAATGTTATTGCATTGGCCACTTTTTTGTAATATTCTTAATGCAATTTTGTTAAAAAGGATGGTTGGTTGTTTTCTATCACAGTGTTGATCAATATAACGTTGGATGGTGATAGCATTGAAGGAGTTTCACATCATACAAGTTCCAAGTTTAGAGTGAATCTAGTAGACTTCATTTGATCCAAGCCTTGTCTGAAAGTAATCGAAATCACATTAAATACATCAAAAGAAGGCTCAAATGTGTTATTCTTGTGTACTCATGGATACTCATAATTTTGTTTTTTTTTAAATCGAAAAGCTTATGAATTATGACTATTAGTATTAATATATTAAAACCTGAATATAGTGAATTATTCTACTCATTTGTATAGACTCTCACCAAAGAAAAATGGCAAATAAAAATAATATGAGAAAAGTGAAAAAGAAGGATAACTCTGAATCTCACACGTTTTAAATTATTTTATTTTTCGAGTTATCCTCCTGTTTCACTTTTTTCCTGGTGCACATGAGTGATGTGCCTGCCACGTCGGATATGGACTGGAACGTTTTCAAAGGAGCGAATGGATGATTTCCGTCCATTTAGGAAAGTTTCACCCTCCGCCAATTAGCTTCGGACCATTAGCACCATCCATTGGATGAAAGTATCCCAGTGCTTGTTTTTAATTTATTGTATTCCTTCTTTGAGGTTGATATATAAATCCTCTTCTTTGACTGGACGGTAGCCGTGTCTTGCGTTTTTTATCACTTTCCTTTTACTTTTTTTAGAAAATTTACCTTAGAATTTCAACTTTATGATCTCATTCTGTATCTTTACTTTAATCCCAACACATACAAATATGAACAACAATTAGATGAAATCAAAATATTATAAGAATTAATTTACTTTCAAACTGCTATAATAAACGTTAAATGCATTTTTGGCCGTTATTTCCCTCATGATATCCAAAAGGTATCATGTAGAAAATATATAAAATTATATAAAATATAGTTAAAAGGCAAAACTAGCACCATGATGGTTTTTGACGAACTTTTCAAGTCTCTTTATCTCTCCTCCAAAGATTTTATCAGGAAGAAATATATATATATATATATATATATATATATGACAAAGAATTATCTCATTGTATTAATGTGATATACTTTAAATATTTTACATAGTAATTTTTTAAAATTATCTAGAAATAATTTTATATCATAGATCTTCATTCTCATGATTTTGCCTTTATCTTGTAAAATTTCTTATTATAAGTTTTCTAATTTTAGAAAGTTTTATTTGAAGCAATCCAGAACTTGATGTTTGGGCCAAAAGCCTTGTGGTCTTCAAGAAGTTTCTACAAGACCTTCTTTGTAGTTAGTATATATAAAAGTTAGACCAAGGCTATTATGCTCTTTATTATATATAATTTGTATTCTAGTATTGATTCAAGATTTATTTATTTATTTATGACTAAAAATAAATGTTGTAGTTTCTTTTCTATCTTATATTTAACTATTATTTGTATTACTTTCTTTGTTTTAGTGATACAAGATTAAAGATTGAGTCAATACATTTAGTCAATTAAAGATCTACTTTAATTTTTTTCTCACTTTTAGTAATATATAATTAAAGATCTAATTTTAAATTTCAAAAAAATTAATTTAAGATATTTTTATTGGATATTTTTTATTTTAAATTATAAATTATTTTTTGCTATTGTCACTAATTAAACAATTATTTGTATCAACATCTTTCAACTTTTTAATTTAAATTTTGGTCTAATAAAAAAACATTAAATTTTATTTTAATTTTTTTATAAAATTACTCAAGTTTCTAATGTTGACAATTATAAATAATTATTCATTTGAATTTAATGCTATTATTGCAAAAAAAAACTTGTTTATGTTAAAAAAAAAATGATAGAATTGGTTTAATATATGATAAGTTTCAAGATCTATGTTTTGTATGATACTACTATTTAGTTAAACATAGAAGTCAAAAATAGTAGTCACTTACTATGTCACTTCAAAACAAAAAATCAATCATGATTTAACGTAGTCATTATCCAACAAAATATAGGTTTTATTTTTTGGCATTCTATAAATTAAAAACATGTATAATAATTATTATTTCTAAAAAAATAGGAAATTGTGACATAACTAAAAAACAAGAGAAACAATACACATTATATCCAATTTAATAAAATAGAAAATAAAGTATCTATTATAAAATATGATTAAAGAAAGGTAATTTATAAAAAAATGGTAATAAATTTATTTTATTATTTATTTTTTAAGTCTAACCAAAATAATAAAAATTTCAAAAAATATAAATAGATATAAGGCATCCACCTCTTTTCTCCTCCATTTTTATCTTTTTTTCTTCTTCAAAATTTGATAAATTCAACAAATTCAAAAAAATATATTCAATGCAAAATAACATGTGAGGTCGACAATCATACTTATTTATATTGTATTCCAAGCCAATGTAAACACAACAAATATAATTTGTGTTACAATTATCAAACTATAAAAAATCAATGATCTAATTGTAATTAATAGAAATATTTGAGTAAAGCACCAAGAAAAGACTTTAACAACAATTTTTATTACTATTCATGCAACTATAGTCATCAAAAGTATAACATTATTATAAAAAGATTTATTATAACAAGATGACTTTTATAGTAAAAAGCCTAGTAACAAAGCTCAAGAAGAACATCACATTTTTAATAAATAGCAATTGGTAGGTCATACTACAGCTGGTCCTATACCAAATCAAAAATACACATACTATCAATTTAAAACAATGACATAGAAGTAATAGAAAATCAAATAATGGTATAAAATTCGATCTATTGATAGAATTAATACATCAAAAAGAAATTTATCTAATATTAGAAATAAAAAAGATAGATATTTAAGTGTTCAAAGGTCAAAGGTCAAAGGTCAATATTACAAAATAGTTCAAAGCTTCTAAAAATCATAAATCTTTGGAAACACAAGAAATAAGAATACAAATATTATAGAATTAAAAAGTAACTAAGCTGAAAAAATAAATTTCTTGATAATTTATATGATAAAAAATAAAAATAACAATTGTGCATCAAATTCAAGTCACAAGAAAACCAAAGGCTCACAAACAAGATCACATAGTATTTTACAAATACCAATAAAAAATAGATGATCTTATAATCTTTTGTTTAAATATAAAATCAAATAATTAATAATTAAGATACATAAAATCAATAAATAAATCATAAAAAATAATCTTTTTAAACAAGGGCTAACTAAACTTAATAGAAGTAATATTGATCATTTATAATTCAATTGATAGGAATAAAGAGCTATTATTTAAAGACTTGGCACTCAATATTCTATTTCTATATGTATATAATGTTAATAATTAAGTATTTTAAGATTAAATTACATGAAAATTCTATAGAATGAAAACAATATCTTAAACATTAAATTGTATTACTTTAAGGATTTAAATTAGAATCTAGAATAAATTTTTGAATATTTTAATTTTGATATAAATGACTCTTTATACTAAATTTGATTGAAAGTGTTTTAGATAAATAGTAGAAGGTTGACACATGTATAATTATTAATTATGCACAATTAAAAAGACAACCAAAATATCAACTAATAAAATTAGTGATAATACTTTTTAAGATAAATATTATGAGACAATAGATTCTATTCTTATATCTTTTTAATCTAAATGATATTTAATATTTTATAATATAATATTAGAAGTTTAGATGATCTTTTTAAATTTAAAAAATTAGATAGTTATAATAATAATATGAAATTTTATTTTATTTAATAATAATTTAAGAATATAATTTACATTATAAAAGAGCTTGGGAACTAAGTCAACCATTATGGTCTATATGACGGTATCATGTTATAACACAAATATTAGATAAAAGTAGAAAAAAATATTATAAAAAGATTAATTGACAATAAACTAAAAAATTACTTTTAAAACATAGATAAAATCTAAGAAGTTGGTAAAAGTATTAATATTAATATTTTTGTGTAAATATGATTTCTATTTATTTAATATGATCCTAAATAAGACAAAAAAACAAACAAATAAACAAAAAATAATATTATAGGTATATTTAGGTAAATTTAAAGGATAGCTTTTAACAAAGATTATGTAAAAAAACCTTAGATTGATACTCAAAGAAGATTTGTTGTGAACTAGGATTAAAACCAAATCATAAAATACAAGACCATGTATCTATGGCAAATGTGGGGATTTTTTTTTAATTTTTAATCAAAGAATATGATTTGCAAGAAAATTTGATTGGATTTTTTGAAATATTGGATTCAATAAATTAGAGTAGAAAATGATTTTGTAAGAACTTTATAAAGTTAGGGTTGTTTTGAATGACTTCATTTTTAGAGAAGTAAAAAAATGTTATAATTATGTAATCAAAAGAATTTTGTAGCAAATCTACAAATAATTTTTTTTCGAGTT